TTTTAGTAGAGACGGGGTTTCACCATGTTGACCAGGATGGTCTCGATCTCTTGACCTCGTGATCCACCCGCCTCGGCCTCCCAAAGTGCTCGGATTACAGGCGTGAGCCACCGCGCCCGGACTTCTTATGTCTTTTTTACCAGTGTCCATGAATATGGCATCCTAACTTGTTAGCTTGCAGTAGAGCAAAACCTCAGACCCCTTCACAGTTCTTGATGGTTTTTGGTCATGAGGATGGGCTTCTGACAGACACATAGCTTTCTGGAAGAGGAGGAGGGCTCTGGGGCTCATTAACCAGATTCAAAGGAAGTCCTTAGTATTTGCTAGCAAACATGTTGACCAAATTTCATGATCAACCTGATGATACATGATCCTCAACTTCATTGCCTGTTAATGAGGAGCAAATGGGGCAGTGATTGCAGGCCAAGTATCAGAAAGTAGGTCCAGTGATAGCTAGTCAAATGGTCCCTTGTTTCTTGCTAAACCCTTTTCTGGGCGTGGATAGAGGTATTTCCTCACCAGTCTGTCAGTTAGCTTCAAGTCCATCCCACTATAACAATTAGTACTAAGGTATATCCTGGGTGGGCTGAAGGGTGTACTTCCTTAGACAATTGGTGAATCATTAGAACTTTGGCTGTTTTGCTTGGGACATATGGTGGCAGGGCACTTCATGGTTGTTAAGGAACAAGGGCAACAGATGGGCTATTTTATGGCTCAGCCCCTCCTGGCATTCTGTCATGCCAGACTTAAATCCATTCAAAGAAAATAATAATTTTTTTTTCCATTAGGTCTTGGTTACTTTCAGAGAGCAGTAGCCTCTCAGGGACATATCCCTGAGACAAATTCCTGTGAGAAGGGATGGAAGAGGCATTAACTAATATTTGGTCTTTTGCCACCCTGGATTGAGTTTACTATGCTGACGAAGGTGACCTACTGAAGAATGAGAAACTGACCCAGAGAATTCTAGATAAATTCTTGCAGTTGGCCCCCCAACCTTAGAAAAGTGCTCTACCTTTTATGTTAAAACCAAGCCAGAGCTTCAGAGATGTTTCTTGGTAATGGTGCAGATGCTGTTAAGATGAATTCCTAAAAAAGAAAAGAAAAATGTCAATGTGAGTCAAGCTAGAGGCAGGCAAAGGGCACAAACACAGTGACTCCAGTCTGAAGACCATGTGTCCATGGCTGCTGAGTCACTGGGTCCCCAATGCCAAAATACTGTCAGATCTTCCTTGGTTTTGGGGACCAAAATCATTGGAATTTCATTTATTTGAGCTCCCAGCAGCTGCCATACTACTCAATACTAAATGTAGATGTAAAGCCTTGCATGCTGGCATGGAACCTCCTACCCCCAACCCATGTTCCCTCATATCTTCCTCCACCTTTAACCTGATCTGAGCTGCTTTAAGGAGAAAGTTGATTAGGGTTGGGGCCCAGGTCTCCTTATCTCAAAGGAGGACCAAACACCACATGTACCCATCTGAATATGCTGAGGGACTTTATAGAAGAAAGGGGCTCAAACTTTTACGGCTGTGTTGAATACAGGTGACCAGTTTACCATCTTACACAGTCCTGTGGGGAGGGGGCCACTCAGATTCAACTGATGGGGTTTGGGCAAGGTTCATAGTAGGAAAGGAAAGTTAACATGACCTTGTGGGTATGGTCTGTTGAACCAATTTGATGGACTGTTGTTCTTTTTTGCATCTGAATACATAGCAGAAAGTGACATGTTATATACTTGAACTTTTCTGCCCCATAAGTGCTACAGCCCAACCAGAAAGAGCCCCATTTAGATAGGTACTGGTATCTTTGAGGCTACACAATCCTAATGATACCTTTGAGATACAAAACATCCTGTAACTGATTGCTAATTGG